CCACCGCTTCTTTGCCGGATTACCGGTAGTTAGTTACTTAGCCATCTTTTGGTATAGCTATAAACCAAAATCTAGAGCTTCTAATTTCTCATTTTACACGTTCTCTAAAAATGTAACTTATATGGCACAATTTTGATGCCATCTGTTAGTTGTAATGCCACGTGATTTGGTGATTTGCCAAACATTGACGGTGTTGAAGAAAAGCGGGGCTGGGGGTGGATGACACTGAGCCGGCAGTTTAGGTGGATAGGGTAGGAGGGGTGATAAGGCGCAACACGGTAGTGCTACAAGTTGTGGTTGGTGGGGGACTGTGTCGGCGTAAGCAAAACCAGGGTTTACTAACCCGGTAAGAGGAGCCTTGACGATGAAGGCCTAAATGTTTCTCTATCCAGGGGAATATCTTTGGAAGACCCTGATGTACCCACTGGACCATGGCCTGGGTCGTCAGGAGACTGTTCGAGGCATGAAGATAGGCCGCCCCAGGGGAGCCCTTTGCGGGATCTTCCTGTCACGCCGCATTGACATACAACATGCCCACTCGAGAAGAGTAGGTCTTGACTCCAGAGTCTGCACGATGGCCCGTACCAAGGAGCATGCTTGAAGAGGAGGAGCATCTAAGAACTGTTCGATGGCACATACATCTAAGGTAACTACCATTATCATTAGATTGGCACCTGGAAGACGAATACCCATGTAATGCAATAACAATGATGCTCAATCTTTCTCTACCCACTACCCAATGAATTTTTCAAAAAGCAAAACTCTACCCAATAATTAATGGGAAAGGGAAAAAACTAGACAACCAAGCAAGGTGTACTACAAGGAAGTATCATGTTCAAATAAAATCCCGTGTAGGAAAAGAAATTTCTTGTACTGTATAATCCATGCTAAACTCTTTCATGTATGTTCAACATGCTTGAAGAGCCATCTTAACACTTTCCCTGGAGAGAACATCAGAGCCAAATACGTCTTCCTGGTGCCACTTAATTCCTTTTTTTGTTACATATATGTTCTTTTATTTGCACACGCCATGATGACCGTAGTGTCGAGGTATTCCTTTTGAAGCTGAAGGACATTGTGAAGGAAGTATTCAACATACAGGTAGTTAAATGAAGTTAAATAATGCCAACCGTGTGTTTGGACTCTCCTTTACAACAGTTTATATCTTCTTCTTTTTTATAAAATGGAGAGCTTTACTACACCATTGACTGCATCCAAAGCACACAAGTGTATATTATTTTACTTAATGGGATGTAAATGCGCTTCTTCGTTTAGTGTGATCTCAATAAGTTAATTTTGGGACTATTGATCCATTTGAAACTAATAAAGGAAGGTGAAATCAATTTAGGATTTGTTTACATGGGTTTACTTAGAACATTTATTGAACACCCTTGGCACAATTTAATAGAGGTTGTGCATGTATATGTGCAGCCAAAGGAAAAAGGTAAAGAGCATCCACGGACAATATGAAAGCTGGTTTTAGATACGGCCAGAGTCGGTTTGAGCTCAGAGCGTTGAAAGTGTTGTTCATTTATTTTAGTTTGGTAGTTATATTTTTGGAACTAATGAAGAAATGTGGACGCTACTTACAACTGATTTCATGGCTTAATCAAAACCGATATTGAACAACTTTAATCACAGTATTAGAGATGGTGTACATGTATATGTGCAAGACAAAAGGAAGAGGAGGAGCATCTAAGAACATTATGAATGTGACATGTATTAGGAAAAATAAAATGTTATATCTCAACTCCAAATTTGAGTGGAGGGAAAAGAATTATAGTTTTCCTCGTGTCCATTGATTCTATATTTTTTTCACCTTCCAACTCACTATTGAGACCCCTCACAACCATCCATGTAGGATTGTTTGTTCTCTTTCTTTCTTTTGTAGGGAGGATTATTTTTAACCAAGTAAATTATACGAGCAAAAAAGTAAGAGGAAGGAGAACCTAAGATCCATTGGAATGGGAGGCATCAGAAACATCAGACCATTTCACCCCTCTAATACTAGAGGAGGCATTACAGTTGATTTTCTTCATGTTCCCATTCCTACATCTCTTAGACCTGCTTCTTTCTCTTCCCAGCTTGTGCTCTTTGTGTACGACTACAAGATTTCTAATTTGGAAGTGTGGATCGTCAAACAATTTATAGAGATATTTGGTGTACCACATACTGACATCCATTGTCCTAGTGTCATGTTGTCAACAATGAATTTCACGTGGGGGTGGTGCATTGAGGGCATGCACAAATGCAAGTTGGTTACATGGTTTTATTAGAAGCATTACAAGTGCCCCCACAAAAAAAACATTACAATGAGCAGTTTTCCAGCCCCCTCAGACCCCACTAGCAATTTCAGCCATAGGATCCACCGTATTGAGCATTTTCAGCTGTCAGATACTGTTTCAATCCTACATAGAGCGCTACACATCATAGCCTGATGCTCCCATAATGATTTCAGCCAGCTCCTATTTAATTTGGCCAAATGGGCTCACATGTGTACATCCGTCTCCGTTCACTAGATTGGTAGAGGGCAAATCAATGCCCTTGTTTTGTCTGCCCAAGTGCAGCCTTTGAGCTACGCGAGCGATAGGGTCACGTGATGGTGGCGGGGGAAGCGAACCATCGGCTGTGGACTAGAATCCACTCCCCGCCGATTGACTGATTGAGGAACTGAATGACACACCATTAATGGCAATCGATGTGCGCCACTTGTAGGCCATGCTTTTCTTGTACTCCATGCCTAATTCTTTTTGGTGCTCATTTTCTTTCTCTTCCTTACTCACCATTTCTTCCTCATCATCCATATGTGGATAACATTTTGCTAAGATACTTATGCAAGCAAAAAGGAAGAGGAAGGACCACATTGGGAAAACACTAAAACAAATTTTGACCCTTGAATATAGAGGGAAGAAGAGCCTGGGCTCTCCTCAATGTTTCAAATTGAAAAAAGTTCATGAATTCAAAAGATGTTCACGATGTTTGTGAACTTAAAAATGTTCATGATTTTAAAAATATACTCAGGGATTCCAAAATTTCTTGTGAATTTGAAAAATGGTTACGAATTAAGAAAAATGTTGTTGAATTTGAAAAGAATGTTCAATCACAAATTGGAAAAATGCTCACTAGTTTGAAAAATGTTCGTAGATGTTATAAATGTTTGTGCATTTGAAAAACATTCACAAATTTAAAAGTGAAAATAAAATTATAAAGGGAGAATAAAAACAAAAAAGGATAAAAGGAAATGGAAGAAAACAGAGAACAAAAAGCCAAAAGAAAACCGGAAACCAGGGCAGACAAATAAAGAAAATATAATAAAAGGATGAAGACAAAAACTAAAATACCAAAGAAAACCAAAATAAAAGTAAGAAAACAAAAAAATTACAGAAAATCAGGAAAGAAAAATAGAAAAAATAGAGAATGAAAAAAACTAGAGGGAAGGTTCTAAAATCAGACGGAATGTAGTGAAAACAACCTCTTTTAGCAACTACTTGACGCTTCTGTGTGAATTTCCCGTAATGGGCCGGCCCAAGAGTGCACTCACCATAGGTGAGCACTACATACTGCTCGGAGCGTGCGATAAATAGCAGTCCCATAACAAGTGTTTCGACGACGAGCACTCGTAGTGGGTTTCCCGGCGATGTGTTGAACACGTTCTCCCCTTTCTCGCTTGCTTAAGATTTTGTGCTGGATTTGGACGGTTGTATTTTTGTTATTCAGTTAACGGAAAGGGGTTATGCTCGATTGAAAAAAAAAATGTGCTATCACCTTCCAATTTTATCTGGCTAATCGTTACTTTCATATCCGCCTGAAGAAAGGTGCGTAATATAAATAAAAAATACAATCTGGTTCTGTTCCCTATATGTGGGTAAAAAAAAATCTCAAAATTACGCAATGGAAAATTTATTGTAAAAAAATATGAGCGAAAAAACTGTTTGCATCATATATGTATTTTTATCGATTAAAAACTATGTCGTTTTGTAGAGCAATCCGGTGACACTAGATGACGAAGGCTCTTTGATTTTGTCGGGCGTCCCCCGAAAGATGAGCATAGAGTAAGTCGGAGGCATCTTGGAGATTTCGGTGCTTCGTATGGCACATCTATTTCTCACACCGCGTCGAATGGACCGCTCCCACATACGCACACACATATGGCGAAAACGAAAAATGGCGACCGCGACGGGGAAGAAAATGCACAGGCACGGGGACAAGAGGCAGGTCGCCACCACAGCACGGCAGAATCGAGACGAAAGCGAGGGGAACCAGAATGCAGATAGCCTCATTCTTCTTTTCCACTTGTCCCATGTTTGCATTAATTGATTTGCTTCATTTTGAGGTGGAAAGAAGGTGTGACTTGTGAGTGTTATCACCATATCGCCGGGATGTGGCTCAGCTTCGCCACGGCCAACCGCAGGAGGTTGCGAGGAAGGAGACGACCAAAAGGGCTGGACACAGATAGGACCACAGGCCGGATGTGGCTCTCCTTCCTTCCTTCCTTATTCAGAGCTCACCACAAGATAGGGTGATGATGATGCTGAGCTGATGCCACATGTACTTTCACTTGGCCAACACTTGCTCATCAGAACATCATCCTCACCATCACCAGTTCAAGAATTCAAGATGAACTCCGTTTACCGACGACGGTTTCAGGATCAGGATTACCTCCCAAGCTTTACTGCACCACTGACTCCCATATGGAGAATGTATTACTAGCAATGAAGAAAGTCTGGACTCTGGAGCAATCTCTGCTCAGCTCTGGGTTCAGTGTTGGCCTCCTAGCTCAGCTCTGGAGCAAATATGCCTCAAGATTGACAATCTGTAACCAACAGAAAAAAAGGATTTTCAGAGGTGAACTCTGAATCTGAGTGATGATGGTCCAGCTCTTTAGGAAGAAAGAGTGTTTGTTTGTTCTTCATTCAACTGGAGCAATTTTGATTCTCCACTGTGTGCTGTGGTAGCAACAAGTGTTTCAGTACAGCGGGACCCGACATCCGTCCCTTGACCTAAATACCGCGGCAGGTGTATGGCAAACATATAGCTGAATATATACAACAGCCAGCAAAAATCATTGTAGGGTGACAGGACAAAAGAAAGAAAAAGAAGAAAAAAATAACATCTGATCTACGGGATCGCTTTGCTTTGCGTTGCTCATGGCGAAAGAGCCGCCCTCGCGTACGCGGCCGGTAGAGACAGGAACTTCTTCGCCTTGCCCACGTACGCGCGCTTGGTGAAGTTGTTGTAGTCGTTCGCCTCGATGGCGTCCAGGATCTGCCTGTACAGCCACAGCGATGCCAGGACCTGCGAGGAAATACATATTTTTCAGTGAAAAAAAATTCTTATTTTGTTTGACAGGATCTCAAAGTGCAGGATTCTTACCGGCCATCTGCTCGCGGAGTCTAGATGCATCACGCCCTTCTCGGCCTCATCAAAGAAGAGCCTGGCGCGCTGGATTTGGCCCTTCATGAACCTCCTCCATTTATCCGTCACTTTCCCTCTGAATATGTCCTCCTCTGTCAGACCCGCCTGTGCCAGCTCGTCCAGTGGAAGGTATATTCTCCCCCTCCTCGAGCTGCAATTTTCATCCATCAAGACAAAAACATTAGATTACAAACTTAGAAATAAACAAAAGCAAAATATTCTGGATAGTGACACGTTAGCCTGATAGGTACAAGAAAAGTAAAATACAGTAATCCTACTTGCAGCTTAAAAGAATGATGCCTTACTTGGTACGTTTTACACAAGATTTCAAAGGACTAAGTGTTTAATGTCTTAGTTTACACATCCACAATTTACTAAGACAGGAATACACGTGACTTCTAATAATGGAGTAAAAATTGGTACTTACTCTTCTCCTACGTCTCGGAGGATGTTTGTGAGCTGGTTGGCGATGCCAAGGGCCAGTGCGGCATTGTACACGCTCTCTGCTGAGGCCTTTGAGTCCGGAGCAATCCCCATCACCGGTACCGTCATGAGACCAACAGTGCCAGCGACGTAGTAGCAGTAGAGGTAAAGCTCGTCAAAGGTCCTATACCTCGATTTCCACAGGTCAAGCCTCATCCCTTCAATCATATCTCTGAATGGCTGTAAAGAAAAGAGGTCATGATGTTACAGAAACAACGGACAAAAATGAACCTTGCTAAGTTACTATACAGCGGTGTTTCATACATTCGACAGTAACTTATCTCTTCAGCTTATCTTACCTGGATATCAATTGGAAACTTTGACGCCGTGTCTGAGAGCGCTGCGTCGTACATATCATATGGGCGGCCTTCGAAGAGATCCTCTAATCTCTTCTCCCACCGATCGAGCGCCTTGGGTGTGATGTAAGATGAGTTAGGACCATCCACTAGCTCATCAGTCCTCCTGCACCACACTGCAAGAACACAAAAGTGTTAGTCAGGAATCGGTAAGGTCAGAAGCAAAATTTTCATATTCAGTTACATGAACTGCAGTAAAAATAAAACTAAAACAGCAGTTCAGACTTACCATAGATTGCCCAAACAGCTTTGCGCCTTTCAGGAGTCATAAGCTGTGTGCCTGCCACAAAAACAAACATCTGTGAGAAACTAAAGACCATAAAAGTCGATTTTCAGATAAGATCTCATCAGCGATCCATTAAGCTACTGCCAGCTGTAGGCTCATCATACCAATAGAGGATGATTCTCACAAGATAGGAGATCCAAATGGGAACACAGAGACACAAATTAAATAAAGCTAAGATAGAAGCCCGTCATCTTAAATCAAAGCCCATGCATCTCCACATCATCTCAACCCCACCACCAACTAGTCTAGCTAGTTCCCCTAACCTCCGTCCATCCAAGAAAGCTATAACTAATTAATATCGCCGACGATTCTCCATGGTGGAGGACTGGACACCGCTGCCTTTACTGATTGCTTCCCTGAGATCGGCCAAGATATATATGCATGGCACGTCGCACCCACGTGCACCATCTTCACCTACCAAAGTCGGCAGATCCGATCGCCTTTTATATCCGTGTACGCACTACACTTGTTGGTTAGACTCTAGATAAGCTTCAGGCTGGTTGCCTGCCTGACAGTCATCCTCTCTTGAGGATTGTGGAGCAGAAGAGCTGCTGCTCAGGTAGTGGGAGCATCGCGTTTTCTATGAGATGATGGAATATCATCACGAACGATGTGTTATTGGTTGAATTGATCCTACGCTTAAATTACTCTTCTGCAATTTGGACTGAATGCGGTGAGACGGATGGTTCAGCTACTGGTGTCATAAGAGTTGCAGAGCAGTGAGTGAGTGACGGACGGACGGACGGGGCGTGAGGGAGGGGGCTCACCGAGGTAGAAAGTCTTGGCGTACTCGGCGCAGACCTCGCCGCAGCGGTCGTAGGCGTCGCCGAGGAGGCCCCATCCGAGCTCGGCGTCGCCCTCCTGCTCCACCTGCTCGTCGCGCCACCGGCGGCGCCGGCCGGCCTCCGCCTCCCGCGCCGCCCGGCGCCCCTGCAGGTCCTCCACCAGCGCGGCCTGCCGCAGCACCACCTCGTACACCGCCTCCTCTGTCGCCGTCCGCGCCGCCACCAGGCTGGCCCTCGGCGCCGCGCCGCCCCGCCTCCAGGCCGCGGCCGGGAGCAGGCCGGGCTGGCCGCCCCGCTGGGGCTGGTCGGCCGGGTGGTGGAGGAAGGCGCGCGCGTGCGGCCTGCAGGAGGTGTACACGGCGGAGGATCCCGCCATCGGCCGCGCCCGGCGGTGGTGGCGCGCTGCTCGCTCGGATGGGTGGATGGATGGACGGATTGGTTTTGGTGGGACGAGAGAGAGGCGAGCTCGTCGTGTTGGGTCGGGTGGTGGTGGAGGTGGGGTGTGGGGATGGGCTTTTAAATGGGCGCTCCAGCTTTTCACCAGTAGCCGTGGACGGACGTGGCCCCCGCCAAGCCCAACCAACACTTTCCAAGTCTACAGTAGGCCTCCTCCTCCTCCCTCCTCTCCGGGCTACTATTCTCAGAAAAATAATATCGAAATGTCATACCCGTTTTAATTTTACTCTGTAAAATGCATTATTTTTGGACACCTGCGACTCGATGTGGATGCTAACGAATTCGTCGATATCAACCAAAGAGTATTTTTGGACACAACTTCGAATCGGTCGATGTTCTACACTGTGTGCATTGTTTTTACTTTTACATCCTTTTAGACAGATGGTGCAGGAGGTGCTTAATTTCTCCCTCTTCCCTTCCTCGGTTACTTCGTAAATATTTTGTCTTCGAACAAGGGGTTTTACCTAGCCTCCTAGCTAGTACATCTCAAAAGAAGTTTGTTGATGGTGCTGCGGTGGTTGACATGTCCGATGATAACTCCTTCGTTTTCGTTCGGTCAACAGTTTACTACATTTGAAATTTTGTGATTCCGTTCTTATTTTATAAAATTAGATGGAGATCCTTGGGACTCCAATTTTGAAAATAAAAAGGGAATCTTTATCTGGCCGACCCGTATCCTGTCCATGTGGTCATCCAGGAACACAAGGCGCGGACGGCGATCCGGCTCCATGAGACTACGGTCTTGTATGGCTTTAAGCGCTGGTTTTACTCACATTTTGCATGTTGATCTCACAACCAAATATACCGACGGTTCATGAATCGTCTTGCTTACCGGTCATCTCAAGGCCAAGATGAAATGAATAAGTGGCGTGCTTCTAAATTCGCGGTGACGAGCCGTCGGTAAAATAGAAAAATGATGCTTCACATGCATTCACATTTTTTTTTGTCCTCTTCTTACTATACTACTCCATCGTTTTAAATTACCCACTACGTTCATGTACATCAATTACTCGAGGAGAGCCGTTTTGGTTCTGGGGTCCACATGCTCTGTGATGAATAGAAAATTTAAAATAAATAGTATATAAAATTTGAAAATTCTGATTTTTTTTCCTGTTTACATGTTCCTGTTAGTGTAACAAGCGTGCTTGGCAATTTTCATGCGAAACGGTATAGCAATACTTTGTCGGTGAAAAGGATAAAAATAAGTGTAACATTTGGAGATAACATTTGCCGTTTGACTTGTTTTTTTTTGCGCAAGTCAAAATGTTTAGGGTTTTCCCATAAAAATTTGCAGGGTAGCATTAATTAGGTGTAACAATGAACACATCGCAAAAAAAGCGTTTTTAGTGTGCAGGAGCATTTGCTCCCAAGAGCCAATTAGATTTCACTCTTCAGAAACTAGTTATAGTGGATGGTTGGGTCCTTCCAAACCCTAACCATTGCTCAGAAAAGAAATACAAAATATAAGCTAAGATTTGTCAGAGAAAGACCTGTGTTTTTTAGAAGAACAAAGATTGTGTGCGAGCGTCAAAATCAAGAAATTCATATTGCCGGATATATCATTGAGTATGCTCATTATGATTGTGTGCATCACAATATATAGAGCCATGGGGTTCCAAGAGCATCTCCAGCCATTCGGCCCCCCAGGACGCATAAAAATCGCCCCCTGGGGGCGAGCCGGTGATTCTTTCGACGCTGGGGGCGGTTTTGCGCCCAGTCGTTGTCCCCAGCTCGCCCCCAGTCGCCGATTTTGGCCCACTTTTGAAGCCCCATTTCGGCGAAAAAGGCCCATATGGGCGAGAATAGGCCCATATTCGGCGTGGTTCGCCGTGGCTCGGCGTTCAATTATCAACATAAATAATTTTTATCACATATTTCATCACAGAAAATTCAAGTACTTCAACAAAATAGTACAACAACAAATAGTTCAATACAAATTTTATAGTTTAACAAATAAAAACTCATATTTCATCACACGTCGCGCCCGGTGTCGCCCTTGAGCCGCCATAGGTGCTCTATCAGATCTTGCTGCAGTTGATGATGCACCTGTGGGTCTCGGATCTCTTGACGCATACTGAGATAGGAAGTCCAGGTTACCGGTAGCTGGTGATCAACTTGGGCAAGAGGACCGTGCCGGTGGTATGGTTCAGTGTCAAAGACTGGCTCCTCCTGCTCGCTCTCAATGATCATGTTGTGCAAGATGACACAACAGGTCATGATCTACCACATTTGATCTTTCGACCAGGTCTGAGCGGGGTACCGGACAACAGCAAATCGAGATTGGAGCACACCAAATGCCCGCTCGACATCCTTCCTGCAAGCCTCCTGAATCTTCGCAAACCAGGCGTTCTTGCCTCCAGGCACAGGGTTTTTGATGGTCTTGACAAATGTCGACCATCTCGAATAGATGCCATCAACTAGATAGTACCCCTTGTTGTAGTGCCGCCCATTGATCTCGAAGTTCACCGGAGGAGAATGACCTTCAACAAGCTTGGCAAAGACAGGAGAGCACTGCAACACGTTGATGTCATTGTGAGTTCCAGGCATACCAAAGAAGTTGTGCCAAATCCAGAGGTCCTGTGTGGCCACCGCCTCAAGTACCACACTGCAACCGCCTTTGGCGCCTTTGTACATCCCCTGTCGTGGTTCTAAGTCTGACAGTAGTGTAGGGGGTAGGAATAGAGAGGCAAGATCCTAGCATGGATTAGTTGTATACGCAAGGGATTTACGAGTTCAGGCCCTTCTCGGAGGAAGTAACAGCCCTACGTCTTGGAGCCCGGAGGCGGTCGACTGGATTATGTGTGTATGAGTTACAGGGGTGCAAACCCTTTACACTGAGGAGGGGGGTGGCTTATATAGAGTTCGCCAGACCCCTCTGACCCTCAGTTATGTAGGGTTTAAGGTACATTAAGATCGGGCGTTACTGATAACGCCACAAATAAAGTGCTATGATGACCATAAAAGCTACTTAACGACCGACCATTTGCGTACAGAGTGACTTTAGATCTTCTGGCTGTAGAGTGGTTGGCTTCATGGTCGAGTGTCTTCGAGTCCGTCGAGTGGAACACTTCTGAGTCGATTGACAGGTGGTTTCTATTGGAAATATGCCCTAGAGGCAATAATAAATTAGTTATTATTATTATATTTCCTTGTTCATGATAATCGTTTATTATCCATGCTATAATTGTATTGATAGAAAACTCAGATACATGTGTGGGTACATAGACAACACCATGTCCCTAGTAAGCCTCTAGTTGACTAGCTCGTTGATCAATAGATGGTTATGGTTTCCTGACCATGGACATTGGATGTCGTTGATATCGGGATCACGTCATTAGAAGAATGATGTGATGGACAAGACCCAATCCTAAGCCTAGCACAAAAGATCGTGTAGTTCGTATGCTAAAGCTTTTCTAATGTCAAGTATCATTTCCTTAGACCATGAGATTGTGCAACTCCCGGATACCGTAGGAATGCTTTGGGTGTACCAAATGTCACAACGTAACTGGGTGGCTATAAAGGTGCACTACAGGTATCTCCGAAAGTGTCTGTTGGGTTGGCACGAATCGAGACTGGGATTTGTCACTCCGGTTAACGGAGAGGTATCTCTGGGCCCACTCGGTAGGACATCATCATAATGTGCACAATGTGACTAAGGGGTTGATCACATGATGATGTGTTGCGGAACGAGTAAAGATACTTGCTAGTAACGAGATTGAACAAGGTATCGGCATACCGACGA